GCGCGCTGGCCGGAGCCGAGAGCCCGCAGTGCGCTTGTGTGCTGACGGTTGCACGAGTCTCTGACGGGAGGGGCCTCTCCCGAGATCGCGGTTCTGCTGAGCTGGGGCATGGAGGGTGGGCGGCTGGGGGTGGCTCGGCTCACGCCGGACTCTGGCTCCCAGGTGCCGCCTCCGAGCTGCCTGAGGCCCCGCCATGGCCCAGCAGAGAGCGCTGCCGCAGAGCAAGGAGACACTGCTTCAGTCTTATAACAAGCGGCTCAAGGACGATGTCAAGTCCATCATGGACAACTTCACCGAGATCATCAAGACCGCCAAGGTGGGGGCGGGCAGGCCGGCTCCTGCCCCTCTGAGACCAAGGGAAGGGGAGGGGTCTAGCCAGTGGTGAGCTGAGTGGCCGGCCTGCTGCGGTCAGGTGTCACACGGGTGGGGAGGATCCAGCAGTGAACGCACAGGCCAGGCCTTTGTCCGCATGGGGAAAATATTGGGGAGGGCAGCAGGGGGGTCCGGAGTAGCAAACAGGTCAACCGATAAATAAACCAGCTAGTTACAGGCCCTGGTGAGATGGCCTGGCTTCCGCGTCCAGCGCCCCTTAACCAGCAGCATGGGTCTGGATGAAGACCAGACTTCTCCGTGCCTCTGTTGCCCCTGCATCCTAAGGCCCTTCTGGTGATTGGGTGAATTTGTCTGTGTACAGTGGTTGCCGTGGGGCGTGACTCCAGCCCAGACGTGGTTGCTCTTGCCCCCCAATGCAGTCAGGGAGAAAGGCGGGGGAAGGTCCCTCCAGGTGGTTGGAACCGGCTGTCTGGATCCAGTTGGCAAGCCTGCTGGGCTGCACTGCAGTAAGTTGGGGTGGATCTTGAGACTGCTGTAGACCTCGGAAGGCTTGGTAGGGCCATGATTAAGAAAGCTAAGGTGTATTTAGCGTGCATTCACCGTGTGTCACGCCGTGTCACGAGAGCTGTCGTGTCTTACTGTATTTAACCTTCACACAAGCTCTGTGGGACAGGTAGTGTTGTCTTCTTCATTTTCAGAGGAGGAAACTGAGGCTCAAAAGACTAATTTGCCAAGGTCATTGTGCTAATAGCCGGCAGAGCCAGGATTTGAACCCAGGAATCCAGCTCCTTACTTTAGGGTGCCCTGCCCCCAGCCCAGGGCTGGCAAGGCCCCCTGTGGAAGCCCTGTCCCATGGATGGGCGGGAGCTCTGAGTAGCTTGCACTTTGGACAGGCCAGGCCAGGCAGCACTCCTGGCTCCTCCGTGCGCTGTCGGAGACACCTTGGATGCACTCTCTGAGCTGTCCCTGCCTCAGTTTTGCCCACCTGTAAACCTAGGATGGCGGTCCAGGCTTCGGTGAGAATTCCACAAGATAATGGTGGTTAAGCCCTTAACATGACACCTGGCAGCCTGGAAGAGCTAGGAAATAGTTGCTCAAAAGAAATACATCATGCCTTTATGCATTCAGCAGCTCAGTTTACTGAGCATCTGAGCTCGCGACCCCATCTTATACCAAACAGGGCTCCACACCCCAAAGAACACTTGACCTAGACCTCCCTGCAGGCGGCACAGCAGTCAGGGTCCACAGGCATCCGTTTTCCCGGTGAAAGTGCCCGTGAGCTCCTTAGGACAGGAGGGGGTGAGGCTGAACGCCGGCCACGGTCTGGTCCGCGGTGCGTGGCGGAGGAGGTAAAGTGGACGGCAGGCAGGAGGCAGCGGCGGCGGGTGTCCTGCAGCCGGCTAGTTACCTGTGGGTTGGGGCACCTGCCAGTTCTGGGGCTTTTTTGTCTGCCCTCCAGATCGAGGACGAGACACAAGTGTCGAGGGCCACTCAGGGCGAGCAGGACAACTACGAGATGCACGTTCGAGCTGCCAACATTGTGAGTCACTCGGTGGAGGGCAGGGCCCAGGGCTGCAGGAGCCCTGTGGTCCCACCTTTGAGGGGGGGATGGGGGGGCAAGTGGGCAAACCACTTCTCAGGAGACTCCCCTCGAGAGGAGGGCTGTCTGGCACCTGCGCAAGGGGCGGCAGATGGTCGGCCACATCCATCACGGAGAGTGCTGTGTGATGGTTAGCCTTTCTAAAGGGGTTGACCCTTCTTTGCCGACGAGACAGCTCCCAGAGATTCGTTATGAGAGCGAAAGCAAATTGCCGAACAAACCAAGATGTGCGTTTTCATCGCTTTTGATGTCCCAGAACAAGCACATCAGCCAAATGTTCCCATGGATGTGTGCCCACGGGTGCAAACACATAGGAAAAGCCCCAGAGGAATCCTGCCCAACTGGCCTGCTTGCTGCTCCCAAGGAGGTGCACGGGCAGGCGTTACATGGGACGGTAGTGTTATCTGTGGGGCTTGAGGCTTTGCGAAGCATAATCTGTGTAAGGGAGGGTCCGTACCCCTGCAGCGGCAGCCGGGGTGGGGGTGGGCTGGGAAGCTGGTGGCACCTGCCTTGGAAGCACGTCCATGGGTGGGGGCCACGGACCCTGTCCTCCCGTGGGTCCCTTTCGGTTCTCTCACTGCACGACGACCCTGTGAAGGTCAGTGCTGTGGTCCCACCTGACAGACAAGGAGATGGAGGCGGGGCCGCGGCGGCTTCCTCAGCATGCCTGCCCTGGTTCTGATGGCCTCAGGTCCGAGCTGGTGAGTCCCTGATGAAACTGGTGTCTGACCTCAAGCAGTTCCTCATCCTCAATGACTTCCCGTCGGTAAACGAGGCCATCGACCAGCGCAACCAGCAGCTGCGAGCCCTGCAGGAGGAGTGTGACAGGAAGCTCATTGCCCTGCGGGACGAGATCTCCATCGACCTGTACGAGCTGGAGGAGGAATATTACTCGTCCAGGTACCGATAGGGCTGGACCCCGCGCAGAGCACAGCTGGGGGCCCGGGCCCGGCCTGCAGCCCCGAAGGCCCTGTTTTTGCAAATCCTTCCTGGTCTTGGCAGCACAGACACGTGCCTGGGTTTCAGAGCAGAGCTCACGGTCAGAGCGATTGATGGACAATTTACGCCGCCTGCCAGGCCCTGGGCAGCAGGATGAAAGTCACAGAACTTCAGGGTTTGGGTGGGCCAAGCCCCAGAGCGGAGGGCAGAGCCAGCATTCCTGCTGGGGCTGTCCATTGCCTCATTCTGGGCCTGCGTGCTTCTCTTAGTTTTTTAGTCAATATTTAAACGTTCCAGCCAGGCCTGGGCTAGCTTCTCTTGGCAGCCCAGGCTCATGCCCTGAATGTGCAGGATGCCAGTGCTTGCCTAGAGATGCCGTTCCATGTGGGTATCCCCGAATCTTCAGCGTGTGTGTCAGGGTCCACGGTGGTGTGGGGGTGGGAAGGAGGAAGAAACCCGAGCAGAGGATGGCCTTGAGAGCTGGGCCTGGGGTACCCAGACCACTGAGTTCCTGTTCAGCTCAGCCTGGTTCACAGACCAGAGCCTGCCTACATGTTAGGCCCATGCTGGGCCCCAGGGATACGGCAGTGGGCAAGACCTGTCACCCCAGCCCACGTGCACCACTTGGAATCCTGAAACCTGAGTCGTTTGAGCCCAAGGGGTCCTGAAAAATCAGAGTCCAGGTTTAATATACACGGGGGAACTGAAGCTGGAGACAGGAAGGCCTTACACCTCTGTCCCCATTAGCTCAGAAAGTCAAGTCTCTGTTCAAACGGAGTGGTGCCCCCCCATGCCGTTGCCCAGACAAACGTGTCCTTCCTGTGGTGGCTTTTTCAGATGCTCCTTTCTGCCCTGTGGAGGCCATGCTGAGCCACAGATGCCCAGAGCCAGCATGGTCTGTGGTCTGGGCCTTGGTTTCCCTGCCCTGTACTCAATGCCAGCCCTCACTGTCCCTGGCCATCTTGGCCTCTACGGGAAGGGACAGTGCCACTGTCCAGCCGGAGTGGTTCTAGACTTTCCCAGAGGGTTCTGGGGCCACCTCTGGTCCCTGATACCCATCGGCTCAGCAGACATGGCGGCAAGCACCTCGTACACACCAGGCCTTCAGAGAAGGGTCTGGAGGGGGTCCCTGGGGTGGGGGTGCTGTCTGTGTCTCAGACCATGCCAAGGACATGGTTCACAGCCCCGCGGATTTTTGCAGAATCCCTTCACGTCCCTATGTTTGTTTCCTGCTGCCCCCAAGGACCGGGCTTGTGGACTGAGTGGTTACAGGACAACAATTTAGCCCTGCCTCTCGAGGTTGAGGGCTGGGTTAGGGGGGGTAGTGAGGGACCCGCCCAAAGTCACTTTGACAAGACTGCAGGGAACCCAGGGGCCTGAGTGCCAGGCTTCCCGCGTCCTGCCGTGCCAGTCTCTGGTTCACCCAGGGGGGGTCCTTGCTGTCCCTGGTGCCTTGAGAGGCTGAGTTCCTCCCTCGTGTGCAAATACCTGTGGAAGGCCAGGGCTCAGTTGAGTCACGGCTGCCAGGCTTTGTGCCCCTCCCTAAAAGCCCCCAACACAGGTTGCCATGCCCCGCATGCCGGTGTCCACACTCGCCCGCTCTCTGCTCGTGACTCGCTCTTTCTCTACCTCTTGCCCTCTGCTCTCCTTGGGATGCCGCTCTGTGCCCAAACCACTGAAGGCAGAAGAAGCAAGGGAGGGAGGGAGGTTGGGGTCAGATAGTTGTGGGACCTCTGAGCTCTAGTCACCCCTGGACAGCCCTAGTGAGTCATACTCCTCACCTGCATCCTCACCCCGGTCTTCCCGTGCCTGGGCAGGCCAACCCTGCTGACCTGTGTTAGAGGCCGGGAGACTTGAGTTCAGGGGGCCTACGGGCCTGTCGGCCACACAGCTGGTAGAGTGGTGCAGCACAGAACACCAGGGCTCCTGGTTCTGTCCCCGATTCAGGCAGAGTCCCTGCGGGGCAGAGAACCCAAAAACAAGACAGGGTCTCTGCTATTGGGGTCCTCGCAAAGTGTAGTGACTGTTGAGAGACCATAGCGAGCTCTGGAGCCAGGATAGGAGGCGGCGGCATGGGCTGGCTCAGCCTTGTGGCTGTCAGTTGGGAGATACACTTGGTCAGTCAGAGGGATCTGCCAAGGTCACACAGCCTGCTGGTGGCTGGTCCTGAAGGGCACCTCCTGTAGGATGCTGTATTGGACCCTGAAGCAAGGGCAGCCCCACACGCCCCCCCCCCCGGCCCTTAGCCAGGCCTGCGTGGAGAGGGGCCAGCACAGAGAAGAAGAGGGGAAAGGCAGGTTTGGGGTGTGGTCTGTTTTCTTAACTCTGCTTCTATCTTGCTTCCCCGTCCCCGCGCCCCGCCCCGGCTTCCATCCGTCTCTGCCTGCTCCTGTCTCTCCCTGGGTTTCTGGTGGTGGAAAAGCTCAAGTCTTTGCGAAGCTAATGACCTGCCTCTGTGCGAAGCATACTGGAGGCTGGACCTCGACACAGACTCTGCTGATGGCCTCTCGGCCCTTGTGCTGGCGTCCCCGGAGCCCAGCGCTGGCCCCCTGCAGGCTGCGGCCCCGGCCCACTCCCATGCCGGTGGCCCCGGCGCCGGCCCCACGGAGCACGCCTGAGCCTCCCAGGGCTCCCCTCCCCACACCCCTAGGTTCTTAGGAAGTCTGGTGTCCCTTCCGGGCTCGCCACAGCTTTGCTCCTCTCAGCCTTGCTTCCCCTTGAGAACTTTAGCCCAGGGACAGCTGCCCCCCACCCCCTGCCAGGAGTGTTGGGGAGGAGTAGCTCCCCCAGCCGTTTCCAAGGTGACCCATCTCCCTCTGAGTGGTCACCTCTGTTCACAACCCTCCTGGCCTGCTGGGCAGAAGGTTCCTGGACAGTCCTGTTGAGGCCCCGGTAGTGGGGCAGGAGGATGTCCTGCTATTTAAAAGCTGCAGGATGGTGCTCAGAGTGGACAATACTAGCCAAGTCCAGACTCCCCCTCTCAGGCCAGGCCCTCTGTGCAGAGCTACACCCGCTGCCTTGTCCTAAGGGTCCCTGCACTAGCTGACTGTCCCCACAGGGCTGTGGCGGGGAGAGAGATGCTGCCCGCTCTCGCCGAAGCCAGGATTGGAACCTTCCTAATTCTGCCATATATGTTCTGGTAGTTTTGTAATAAGACAGTTGAATAAAGACAGCACTGCCCTTTTGCATTGGTTGGCTCTTTCTTGCTAATCTTGGCCCACTCTGGGACCACCCTTGGTTTCCCAGCGGCTGTTGGGAGAGCAGCTCCTAGGCTCTGCCTGGACAGCCTTGGACTTGGGCAGGGACTTGGTCAGTTTGGGGCTGTGGCTGCATTGCCATTGCCTAGAACTGCCTGGGATCTAGAAAGTCCTTAATATTTGGTGATAGAATGAAAAACTGCTGCCATTGCTGCATGTTCTAAGGTCCAGGTGCCTGCACTTCTGGTCCCTCTTGTCCTCACCGCACCTGGAATCTGTGCTGTAGTTGCCTGCACTACTGGGAGGAGTGGCCGCAGGCTTGGAAGGGGCTGAAGTGGTGTGCCCGCGGTCACTGAGCTGGGAAATGAAGCCGCAGAAGTCAGGACTCAACCCACAGGGAATGCTGGGCCCGATGCCTTGGCACCAGGCTCACGGGGGCGGGGGGGGGGGTGTCACACCAGAAGAACTGGGACTTCAACCCCATGCCCTGTCACCAGCATGCCTTATCTCCTCATGAGGGAGACATCGGTCGGTATGTGGGGGAGGTGACAGCCCACAATCCAGTCTCAAGGACAGGGAGGGACACATGCTGAATTATGCTGGGTCCCAGAGACCACCACCCCCACCCCCCCATAGCCAAGCAGAGGCACCACAGAAGTGGGAGCATGGGGCCCAGTCCTGGGTCTGGTCCTGGTTTCCTGGCGTGGTCTGGGGAAGTTGTTTTCCCATTGAGAAACTAGGTGATGAGCTCTTCCCGAAACACCTTAATTGCAGAAATAACTTGTACTTAACACTAACGATGGAAAAAGGGATTAAAACCAATGGAAGCCCATGTGGGGAAAAGCCTGGAGTCGACCAAACCCAATGGTGGGGTTTCGAGTGTCTTCAATTTCCAAACACCCAAGCAGCAAGATCTCTGCACCATCGGTGTTACGCTCTCCTGGGCTGGGCCACTGCTCCCGTTGGAAAATGAAGTTGTTCCTCCTAAAGCGAGGCAGCTCTCCGCCACCTCTTCCTCTCCAGCCCATGCCCCGGCAGCAGAACGAACTCACGGGAGAAACGGGCTGTTGGCAGCTCTCCTCTGAGCCAACTTCCTGCAGGTTTTGTCTCCATGACCCCAGCCGAGCCACATGTATTAGGGTCCCCAGTGGCCTCCACGTCGCTAAACCCTGGGTGGTCCTCAGTCATACCACCTTTGTATTGCAAGTGTTTTACCGTTCAAACCCCTGATGAAGGCATAAAGGTCGCATAAAGAACACCCACACAGACGCGTCTCTGGATTCACCTTTTGCACCTTTACTTGCGCTCTCGTTTATAAAAACTACCTGATTTAATAGCTGCTGGCCTCCTCGTGACACCTCATGTCTAAATACCTGCCAGCTTGCCTCTCTAAGAAAAACCAACACTCTCCACGGCTCAAGGCCAGCATCAGGCCCAAAGTGAACAATCATTCCGTAATAGCATCTAGGATCATGACACATTCTACTTTCCCCAGTTGTTCTCCAAATATCTTGTTATTTTTATTTTGCATTGCATTTACTTACTATTTCTTCTAGTCTTTTGAAATCTACAACAGGATCAGGGTGATGGTCTGGAGTGGGTGACGTACAGTTCTCATTATACTATTTATTTATTTAAAAAGATTCATCCATTTTAGAGTGTATGAGCGGGGGAGGGGCAGAGAGGCAGAGTTGGGGGAAGGCGACACTAATAGACGCCCAACTGACTGTGCTCCCCGCCAGGGATACTTTTAAGGGACAGCCAACAGGATTTGCTCAAGGACTGGGTGTGGGGAATGAGAGGAGGCAGGGTGGCTTCAAGATCTGAGCCTCGAAGCATGGAGTGGCCTTAACTGAGACAGAGAAGGCAGGCAGTGGGGGGAGGCAGGGTTCTGCACATACTCATGGAGATGTGTCTCAGATGTCCAGAAGTGGGCCTGGAGTTCAGGGGAGTCATCAGCACCAAGTCAGGAGCCCTGAGAAGGGTCACTGTGCAGTAAGAGTTGACAGAAAAGGGAAGTGAGGCCCAGAGAGGAGAGAGCAGGTAGGTAGGAGGAAGGCCTGTCATCTGGGGTTCCCAAAATCCTGTGAGGACAGGATTTCAGGGAGGAGGTAGGATTAACTGGTTAAACCCTCCAGACAACTCTCACAGAAAAGGTAACTTAAAATTAAGGCCCATAAATCTAGATTTGCACTCGGAACTCAACTTTTTTCTCCCTTCTCTGTGGCATCTGTTACCCCCTGTCCAGCAAAGACCTCAGGAAAGCCTCAAACACCTCCCTGGAGATGGTGATGCAGGACAGAGAACCCCAGACTTGGGTGTGGACCGGAAGTCTTGCTGAAAGAGGACCCATCATCCCAACCCCCCCCCGGCTCACATCCCTGTCCCTCCATCCGTCTGGCTTTGATGGTTAAAACTGACGGTGCCAGAAAGAACGTTTATGGTTCAGTGAGTGTGCTGTATAGAGATTTGACTGTGTGCACTGAAAATCTGTGGGGGAAGACGATGAAGCTATCCTCTCCTCAAAACGGCACCTCATGACAGAGATTAGGGGTAGAAAGTTAAATCCTTAGTGCTTCAAATATAACATCAGAAGCCTTCTTAAATATATTGAGGTTGTAATTTATAAATCCATGCCCCAGTCTCTCCCTTCCCCTGATGAAAATCGCAAGGCCCCCTTCTCTACTCACCCCAAGGCAACCCTCAAAGGGCTCTGGGTTGTGTCAAAGCCTGTCCATTGCTATGAATTAAGGAACCAGGTGCGGGGTTCTCCAGCCTCAGGCTGGTGAACACTCCTTTCTTTCCCGAGTTCTTTTTTTAAATTTTATATTTAATTTTATTTATCTATTACGTATGTATGTATGAATGAATGAATGAATGAGAGGGAGCAGCAGACTCCCCGCTGAGCAGGGAGCCCCACTGGGGGCCCGATCCCAGGACCCCAGGATCATGACCTGAGCTGAAGGCAGATGCTCAACCGACTGAGCCACCCAGGCGCCCCACCCCCCGTCAGTTCTTAAGGGAGAAGTCTTGTTGTAAATCTCAGTCTGTGATTGCACTGTTCAGAGCAAAGATTCCAGTGGGTCTTCCCTGAGCGCCCCAGCATCCTCCCTACAACATCTCACATCCCTTTCCTCCCGGACCTTTCTCCGGAGCACTCCCTATTACCCGACTCATCCTGTGCTAGTCTTACTTTCACCCGTCACCACCGAAACGCAAACCTGCCGAGGACACTGGTGCGTGTTTTTTTACAGCGCTTGGAGCATGCCCCGCACCTGCTAGGCGCGCGGTCCTCTCTGAGCGGACGTGCTCTCGCCAGGGTCCGCTTGGGATTCGAGTCCCCAGAGGCCTGAACCACGGCGAGTCTGTCCTGTTGCCCCCAGGTACTGAGCGCCTACAGTGGACGCGGCACAGTGCTGGGGGTGGGGGGCACCAGCTCCTTCCCGGTCCGCGGGCAGCGCCCGGGAACCACGGAACCCGCCCAAAGCCCACAATGCTTTGCGCCCCGCCCCACGCGCTTCTTCCGGTGGGGCCAAGCCTGGCTAATCGAGCACCGTGCGCTGGCGGCTCGGCGCTCGGCCGGCGGCGCCTGCGCAACGCGCGGTTTCCGGCGTGGGTGGTGCGGCGGAAGCTGCCGGGGTAGTGTGTGTGCCACACGAGGAGGGTCGCGGAGATTGCGGCCATGGCCTCTCTGCTCGCTAAGGACGCCTACCTGCAGGGTCTGGCCAGGAAAATCTGCTGTCAGCCCAGCCCGGAGCCGCAGAAACGCAAGTCCGGTAATGCGCCGCCCGGGGTCGGGCCTGGCAGGACTTGGTCGGGGGGGGGGGTGCTGCACCGCCCGCTGCGGCCGGCCGGCGTCCCCCGCACTGTATCTTGTAGCCTTCGGCTGGGTTAGACGCGTAGATGCGCGGAACACGCTTGTAAGATTCTAGGAAGACAGACAAGAGGTGTTTAAAGTTGCCGCTGTCTCCCTGCTTGTTGTGGGCATCAGCCTAGGGGTTCCAGGAGTCCAGCTCCATCCGACCACCGGGCGGGCGGCTCCTGCGGGGCTTGGCGGAGGTGACCCGGTAGAGTGGGCAGGGTAGTGAGAAGCAGGGAACCGGGATGCCTCCTGGCAGTGAGGGTTTATGGGGCATGGGTGGCTGGGAGGTCGATACACAAGCAGGTGAAACAGGCGGACCTCACAGGAGCTGGGACTTGGGAGTGCTGCCTGGGCCGGGAGGAGGGGAGAGTGGCAGGGGCTGCAGGGAGCTAGAGAAAAAACGACCTTTTGTTTTTATGCAAAGCAAGCTTTTTCAGTATACAAAGTTAAAAAACTTAAGTGGGTTTTTTTAAGTAGTCGGTTATAATTTAGGTTTATGTCTTTTCAGGTTTTCTTTTATGAGCATAGTTTATGTATTAAAACACTCTACTTTGTGTACTCGTTTTATTCGGTAAATGTGAACCTTACTTGATTCGTTAAAGTGAAACCTGCGTCATCATTTAACAGCACTTTATCCATAGCAGTGCCTTAACTTGACCTTGTAGATGGGTATTTAGGTTTTCCTAGTTATTCTCTCAGACGACATTGTGATGAGTATCTCTGAGGCCATATTTTTGTGCATATCTGGAATGGATTCTCACAAGCAGACTGCTGGGTCAAGTGTGGATGTTTTTCAGGGTTTTGAGAGGTGTGGCCGATGTGCTTTCTAGGGTTTGTGGGTCTGAGCTCTACAGATAAGGGTGGGTGGTCCTTCCCAGCCTCCTTTTGGGATCAAAGCTTTTGCAAGACTTTTCCTGCCAGTTGAATGGGTTGCAAAGGTTGGGACTGCAGCCCTTTTTAATTTTGTGTTTCAGCCAGCAAAACTCAAGGCTCAGAAGCTGCTGGGCCCCCAAAAAAGAAGAGGAAGAAAGCGCAGAAGAAATCCCGGGAGCGGGAAAAGGCTGTGGAGCTGAAGACCCAGGCTCTAGGGGAAAAGTCTCCAGCATCTTCCAGGGACAAAAAGCCAGCAGTACCTGAGGAGGGAGAGGCCTTCAGCTCCATGGGATCTCCAGCAGATGGGGATGTGGAGCAGGGCCAGCTGAGATCAGGTGAAAACATGGTCCTAAGAAAATATGGTGCCAGGCACACTGGGGTACCTTGAGACTTTCCATAGAGTGAGCTTTCAGGGGACAGATCCAGGGGCTCTTGGGTAGATAAGATCCCTGGAAGTACATGGTGGTTCCAGGCCACTTGGCAACTGGGTCTGGTGAGGGGCAAGGTCATGTCCCCCTGAGGACCTGGAGCAGCTTGCCCTGCAGAGCCTCACTGCCCGCAGGTGTCTGAAGGGGAGTCATGAGAACTGACCTGTGGAGAGACGTAGGGAAACCCAGGCTGCAGAAGTTGGAAGAAATGAGAGATGGGTTTGCCTTGACCTGTAGGAAGTGTTTTGTCACACTTGGTCCTTTTGCACAGGGGTGTTCTGTTCTGGAGGATGTCTTAGGGGCCATTCCAGCCTGAAGAGGTGGAGTAAAATTTACTGGAACTGCCCTGCAGGTGGGCGAGTGGCCACCTGGCGGTCGTGGGGTGGGGGCAGCGTGTGGAGGTTCAGGCTTTGAAGCTGGGCCTTGGGAAAAGGGACGGGACGATCAGGGAGGGGTTTTCTTCTCAGCTCTCCACTTCCTTCCTTACAGATACTCTGGTCACAGAGCTTGACTCTCTGTTTGCCCTGGATGTTGTGCGGCAGCGGCTACATGAAAAAATGCGGGAGGCCCGGGGCCAGGTGAGTGGGGAGGCCGCTGGGGTTCAGGGAGCAGTGTGGTTTCCTGCAGTGGTTTCCCTGCTCTGCCTGGAGGAGAAGGTGCCTTGGTGCTCTTTGTGGGGTTGGCTCCCAGCTCTGCCAGCTATTGTAGGGCTGACCGGAGGGACATCAGCTGCTTTTCCCACCCCTGTAGCGGGTCCTGCCAGGGCCTTGGCAGCTTTGTTTGGCAAGAGATCAGGTGTGGTTTGTGGCTTCTCGGGGAGCCTGCATTCCCAGCGTCACTTGCCTTGTATGATCTGTGCTGGGCTGCAGATTCCTTGTGCCCTCGAAAGAGGCTCAGCCTCCTCTCTCTGGAAAGCTGCCTTTGCTGAACATACCAGGCAGCACTTCTGTCCCCCGAAGTGTCATGACAGCCCTGTAAGTTAGGCGAGGACCTGAGATGAGGTGATCTGCACAGGGAGCACCAGACCTGAACCGGCTTGGGCTGTTTGTGCTAGCATTGTAGTTCTCCCACTCAGCCACCACCTGCCCTTTCCTGGGGACATGCCCTGGGCCTCTTGCTGGGTGGGGACGGTCCCCCAGCTTCTTTGTGCATCTGCCTGGGGATAAGCCCGGGGGTCATTCCTAAGGAGTGGTCCAAGCTCCGGGCCTGGTCCTTCTGCACACAGGTCTGGGTCAGCCTGGTCTAGGGTTCTCTTGTTAGCCTCTAGAAGGAAGGGGTCAGGGATGTCACCAGCAGAATGGTGCCATGGTCAGCACAGGCACTGGGTCATTCTGACCTCATGCCACGTTCTAGTTGGTGGCTTTGGTTAAGCGTGTTGTTTTCATCTATGAAGTGATGCAGGATATGTTCCCTATGGAAGCATTAGAAAGATAGAGGAACCGTGTGTGTAAAGCGCCCTGGTGTAATGCGCCTGGGGACTGGAAACCATGAACTCAGGGGTTCTCTTGTCCTTTTGGGGGTCCCTTGTGTTTTAGGTGATAGATCATTTCACAGAGGAACACTGAAGTCAGTGGGCAGCTTGTCCTGCTCAGCAGTCTCCTCACCTGCTTTCCTGCCCTGATTCCACATCCCAGACCGGGGCCCCGCAAATTGGAAGGACCTTATACATGAATTTTTTTTTTTTTTTT